CCCAAGCCATACCAGGACTCCTCCCTGGAGGTCCAGTGTAGAGGTGCTGAAGCCATCCCAGGACTCCTCCCTGGAGGTCCAGTGTAGAGGTGCTGAAGCCATCCCAGGACTCCTCCCTGGAGGTCCAGTGTGGAGATGCTGAAGGTAATAACTTAGCTTTTTGATCTTCAGCCCCATTTCTGTCCAATTTACTTGGGAGCTTTCACCCAGGGACCATGCCATCAGTGAATGTCTGTCCCCAGAACACTAACTCCAGAGTAATATCTTAGTGGCACTGGGAAGGGAGAGTTGCAGAAGCCACTGGGAAGCCACTCACGGACTGTTGGATCAAGTGCTATGTAGGGGGAGGCTGGGTTGTAAGATGGAGCATACTTGCTCTGTCCTTTGATGCAACCCTGGGGACTCTGCAATCTTCCCACTGCCAAGAAGGCCACACCAGAGGCCAACTCTTGACCCCAGACTCTCAACTCCAAGAACCCTGTGATGATCAAACCTTGTTCTTCATAAATCACCCAGTCTGTGGTGTTCTGTTACAACAACGGAAAAGGCACTAAGCAAGGCTATCTCCTCCAGGGAGCCTTCCTGGGCTTCTTAGTCTTTACAAGTTCTGCATAGAAGGTAAAAATAAGAAATGACAGGGGGCTTCTTGATTTCCCTGAGCTTGCCCTTGAGTTTGTGTACAGAGGTGAGTTGATAGGTGGGTGGCATGTTCTGGTTAGCATTGGGAGGTTGAGAGGGAGAGTCCTGTTAGTCAGAGCCTGAGGCTGGAGGGCCACAAGGCAAGCTCACTGCAGACCACAGGCTCCTGAGTGCTGGGCTCAAATCATAAACACACACACACACACACACACACACACACACACACACACACACACACACACACAATACCTTATTTAGGCAAGACTCATCTGGGTGAAAGCATGGTCAGGCGAGTGACAGGGCTTCCCTTATTTGTTACAAATGGATTGGATTTCCCATGTCCACCTGGAGAAATATCCCCAGTGTGAGGATTCCAGAGGGGCACCCACAAGGACTAGGACTATTGTTTCAAGTAGACGTGGGATGCCGCAGACACTCCACATCTCCTGCCTAGGCTATTAAGGGCACAGGCTTACCAAGCCAAAGGAGAAACAGAGGACCTACATACATTCAGCCAAAGCCATCTCTCACAAGGGTCCCAGCTAGGGAGAAGCAAGCCAGCCAGAAGCATGACATCAGAGCTCTAGCTGCATCCAGGTGGGGAATGGGTCCCCAGAGAACTCGGGAGATGAGAAATAAAGGGCTTTCTAACATCTGCCGCTGATGCTTGGTGGCCCAGAATATCACGGTGATGTGAGAAAACGGGAGCTGGGGGAGTGGTTGTTCCTAAGCTCATGCTGGAATCTTTACCCCAGGACCTCAGGTTAGAACTTTGCTAGGAGTGGGAGTTGGCTGTAGGATTAATTAAGATAAGGTCACCTAGGAGTAGGGTAGGCCTTAGCTAGTAGGACTGGTGTCTGTGTAGAAAGGGAATGACAAATACTGTCTGATTCCTGTGGATAAAGGCAGAAGTGGAGAATGTGTCTAGATACCAAGAAATCTAAAGGTTGCTGGAAAACTTAGAGGCAGGAGGGGGACCTGGTACATACAGGGACTGAAGATCCTCTTCTCTTGAGTTCCAATTTAAGAAACTGAAGCGTGCTGGGAGTGGTGGTACACACCTTTAGTCCCAGCAGAGACAGGGGGATCTCTGTGAGTTGGAGGCAGCCTGGTCTACAGGGCAAGTTCCAGGACAGCCAAGGGCCACAAAGAGGAACCCTGGCTTGGGGGAAAAAAGAACCTCAAATCTAAGACAATGCTTCCTAAAGCCCCTCTCAGCCAACTGTGGTACTTAGTGACAACCAGCCAGTCAAGCCAACGAAGGTTGTACCAATAAACCAGGTGAAGTTGTACGTGCCTGGGATCTCAGCACTTGCAAAACTGGTACTGAACAATTTTGAGTTTGAGACTGGCCTGGAAAATGTGAGGAGACATTGTTTCAAAAAAAAAAAAGTCGGTTTCTAAACTAATGTATTTTTTCTATCTATCTATCTATCTATCTATCTATCTATCTATCTATCTATCATCTATACCTGTTTTCTAAATGTGTATCCTTATACAGATAAGTCTAGCTCTCACCCCTCATCAAAGAAGATTGGTTTTGCAGCATAAGGAGATGATTCCAGAGATACACAGCTGTTCAAAATGCAGAGTGAACAGGTGGCCGTGGGTTGTGTAACTCCAACTAGCGTGTGTGGGATGGAACCTCTAAGCCTAAGGCTAACAGAAGAGAAAGTGATAAGGTTGCAAGAGCCCCAGGCCCAGGACGACTATTGATAGTGTTCTCTAGACAGGGAAAGTGTACCCATGAACTCTGAACCATGGTTGACTGAACACAAGACAAACATAAGTATAACACCACCTGACACACAGTTGTGAACAGAGGGGATGCTGTATGGTCCTACCCCTATATGAAGAGCTATAGGAAAGAGGGAGAATCAGTTGCCTCAGAGACACTGAATCCCCACAGAAGTTGTCCAGTCCAAGCGATCAGCCCTGAACATAAGCACACATGAGCAAAGTTAAATGGATTCCATAAGTTATATATATATATACATATATATATATATATATATATATATATATATATATATATATATGTGCGTATACACATATATGTATATGATGTATGTTTTTCAAAAGTATAAATTAAAAAATAATCAAATTCAACTTTAAGAAATGTGTCTGAGGATATGTTTGGCAGTTTTCGCAGATGGCCTGAGTAGATCTCATGGCCCATGTGAGGCAATACTCGTTTCTCCCAAATTGTAGGCAAGAGGCTAGGAAAATGCCACAGCAGTTATGAGCTCTGGCTGCGCTTCCAGAGGATTCAGATTCACTTTCCAGCACCCACATGGCGGCTCACAACCAGACATTTATTACTCCAGTTCCAGGGAAGCCAATGCCTTATTCTGGACTCTGCAGACACCAGGTACACATATGATGCACATACACACAGGCCATACCCCATACAGTAAGATAAAAATAATAAAGCAAACAACTCCCCCCTCTCCCCCCCCCCAAACAACAAAAGAACTAAAGGAAAAACATGTTGGTGAGAAAATGGTAAAGAGATTGACTGGTATCTTTGGAATAAAAACCTCTAAGCCTAAGGCTCAGGGAAAGTCACAGAAGACAGTGATGAGGTAGGAAGAGCCAGAGGTTCAGGACACGTGTTGATAGTGTCCTTAGACACAACATGGAAAATGTGCCCGTGAACTCTGAATCAGGGCTGACTGAACACAAGCCAAGCCAAAGGTCACCACACTCACCAATGGTTTTACGGGCTAACTTTTTTTTTCCCCTGAAAGTGTCTGCTACAAGGCAGCCCAGGCTGGTCCTGAACTTTGAGGGGCATGCTCTACTATGATGGTCTTTAGTCTGAATATGAGACAGTCCATTCCTGAGCCTGAATTTTCCTCCCCTTAGTCACTAGACAGCTGCTGTTGAAGTTGGGAGACTTGTAAAACAGAGTAAGCATGAGAGGGATTGTCTATGGAAATGACAGAGAAAGAAGGGCAGCCAATTAGGAAGAAATGTTCTAGACTACGGGTCCATGGCCACCAAAAGGTACTGGCCTTGTGAAGGGCTCCATGATGAGCTACTCAGGTGGGGAAGGAGGCATGCCAGCTTTGAGACATTTGTCAAACACAGTCTAGAGTAGGCTTGCATGAATATATCTGTATTTCCATAGTCTCTCATGGAAGTTTCATTTGGGGACATGCCCAGTGTGCCAGGTCACCCGAATGAGTCACAGTCCCCTTTCTGTCTCAGTTGCTTCTCTTCAATGACGTATAATCCTTCCGACTTTGTTCCCTGGGTTTCCCAACAGGTTCCTACATGATGTCCCACAAGGGACATCTTTCCCCCATAAGACCGCAGACCATCTTCCCTGTTCAGGTCTGTTTCCTCCATCCAGTCTTGACAGCACACCATGGGCTGTCTTAAGAGGCTAGCATGGAGGGAAAATGTCCCTGGCTTCCCAACCAGCCTTGGCTTGCAACCCGGGAGAGGGCCTGCGGTGGTGAGCACCCAGTTCCCAGTTCCATCTTGCTCTCATCGTAGTGAAGAGGCTGGGGTGAAGGTGACTGGGACTTTATATGAGCAAAGGACATCATTGCAGGTCAGAGATGTATTAAGGCACACAAGAGCATGAGCTTGTCTGGGTGACACATCCATGCTTTGCAGGTGTAGCCCTGACCTAGGAGTTTGGTGAACAAAGGGGTACGAAGTTCCCCCTGGTCCTGGGTTCCCAGTGAAGGTTGGCTCAGTCCAGAGGGTGAGCAGGTGTCAAGGGGTACAGGGTAGTAAGGAGCACAGAGAGCAAGTTTTCACTGTGAGGAGTTTGAGCAGGATTCTTATAACCCTCAATTTCACCTCCTCCCCACCCCCAGCCAGAGTCCACCACGGATGCTATGAGGCCAGAGATATGAACTCGGGAGTTCTCCAGAAGTGCTAGCATAGGAAGCTTGCCCATGAGGTTAGACAGCTGACTATACTCTTGAACCTTCAGTCATCTATATAGTGTGTAGGGCAGGTCCCGTGTAGGGATGTTCTCAACCATAGGAAAATACAGAGAAAGGACAGGGATATCAGGGCCTGGCAGAATCCTAAAGCAGGGCCTTAGTGGCCGAGGTCAGAGCTCTGTCCAGACCTATCATTGATCTACACAGAGGGACATAGAAGATCAGCTGAGATTAGACAAATGTTCTGTCTGTCTAAAAGCACGGAGGGGGTGGATTTTGAGCCCCAAGGGGCATTCCACCTGTAAAACCCACCTAGGGCTAAGAAAGGAGCCAGTCTGAACACTGTCCCCTGTGTTCAGTGTTCCTCCCCTCCAGTGATAGAAACCGAGGGTGAAAGTTTCTTCAAGCCCTGACCCAGCCACCAACCCTGGTCCCACGTCCCTGGAAGTCACATACCTAGAAGCCACCCTGATTGCCAGCTCAATTGCAGCACAACCCAAGTGAATGACCAGGGTACCTGCCAGGCCCACATGCCCAGAGCCCCTGGCTGTGCCTCCTTCAGCTGCGGCAGTCTCCTCTTCCTCCTCGGAGGTTCAGGCAGAGTTGTCTGTAGCGGAAAGGAAACTGTCCTGGGTCATGTTGGAGGGAGGAGACCTGTTCTTGGCTCCCGCCCCCTCTTCCTCCACCTCCACAGGGGTGGGAGAACTGGCTAGTAGAGGTGGGGGAGGGGCATGGAACAGGTAGGGGAGTGAGAGGGAAAGATCCTGGGAGGAGCAGGTAAGGGACTAGTGAGAGATTGGAGGACAGAGAGAGGGAAGAGAAGACCAGCTGTTCTTGCCTATTGTCAAGCTATGGGGTCCTCTCCATTTCAAGCCCCTCTTGTGGGTAGTTTTGGTCCTTTCCATTCCTGGTACCCAGATCGATCCCGGGGCTGAGAGAGATTGAGACTAGGGCCAGACTCTTGTCCCTTTGGAGAGTAGGTGTCTACCCTTGCTCTGGTACCTATGGCTGCGGTGAGGGCAAGCTAGACCTTCCCCTACCTTGTCTGCCAAGCGTGGCCTTGAATCCCCTGAGTCTTAGTCCTTTACTTCTGAGGAGCAAGAGCCCAGTTATCCTACATGCTCCTGTTTGATGGGTCAGAGGAGCCTCGAAGGCTGCAGTGAGCATCTTCTAGGACCCTGAGAAGATGCCTTTCCTCCCCAGACACACCCATAGGTTCAGAAAGCCCCTGGACCTGGTATCCCTTTTTCTCGTGGCCTTTCTTCCTTTCAAGACACTGGGCCTGCTGCCTGGATCACTCTCTTCTCTGCTTCCACAGTTGAACTAGGTTTGCTAGCTCTGCTGCCCTGGATCTCCCTCTTTGCCTGAGAGACGTAACACCAGGCTGGGTGGACACAGTAGTTTTTAGGTCTTTCCCAGTCAACTTTCCTCAGTCTCTAGGAGATGGAGACCCCACCTCACCTCCTGCCTGTCCATCCCCTGTCTCCCTGGGGATGGGTGGGATGGGCAGACCTGCGTGCATAGCACCCAGTTAGCTAGTCATTTCTGGGGTGTTCTGATTATTTAACAGTTCTGCTCTCAGTGTTTCGCCACAGTGAATGGGAAAAAGGAAAAAAACGAAACTGCTAATATTAGCAATGAGATGTGTGGTTCTCTCAGTGTTTTGCCACAGTGAATGGGAAAAAGGAAAAAACGAAACTGCTAATATTAGCAATGAGATGTGTAGGTCTCCCCACCCTAAAAAAGCAGCCTGGCTGGAAACCATCTGGCAGCTGCCTCAGCCACCCCAGTTCAGAGGCACCAGCTTGGTGGGGAAGGAAACGTTACTTTGAACAGCACAGAAATGGAAAAAAAATGAGGCACAGACTGGCCGCCTCCAGTCTCAGTATGGGGCTTGTGGGCAGAAGCTAGGGGGATCCCCTCCCCAAGCCTGGCTGTTACTGAGCCTCCTTGATAGCTTTATGTCTCTCAGGCATGCTCAGGGTAGCGAGTCCCCTATCAAGGCTAGGTGATTAGGTGCTGGCTACAGGCCTATCGTGAATTCTGGATAGATCCCACCCAGCCTTGCTCTGATGTTCTCTCTAGAATCTTCCTATGGGACTCAGACTATGCAGAGCAGTTCATGAGGACTGAAGAGGAGCAGGTGCCTGAGCAGCAGGCCGTCATCCCATCCCTGGTGTTTTACACAACTCCCCAGGCCTTTAAGAACTGGGCCATCTTTTCATAGAGAGCGAGGGAACTTCTGCCTGTGTCTCTCCTCCCTCTTTTGCTGTACCTTCTTCCTCTTCATTATCTCTGGCCCTTACTTTCCCCTTCTTTCCTCTTTCCTCCATAGCAGTGTGGTGAGGAGCCAGGCTGGGCCTGGGGTAGCCCTAATTGTTTTCCCTATGCCAATAGCCACACACATGCAATCCCCAACATGCATGATAGAACCCACACAATCTCAAACACACATACTATCCTGCAACAAACACACACAATCCTTAGGGCTCATGCTGTCCTCTAATATCCATGCTGTCTTCAGATATATATGAGATCCCTAACACATTCTATTCCCCAGTAATGCTATCTCTTAACACACATGCAATCCTCAACACACATGATAGAATCCACACAGCCTCAAACACATATACTATCCCACAATACACATGCAATCTTCAGGACTCATGCTTTCCTCTAATACATATGCTCTCTTCCAATATACATGCTATGTCCCAGTAGGCACTCAGTTTCCAACACACATACTACCTCCCAATTTGTACACAATCCCAAACACACATACTATTCTACTGTGCTGGCTGCCTACACAGTATGGCACAGCAGGTGCTTGTTGCTCTGGTTTTCTGTGGGGCATCATCCCCTGAAGCATTCTCTTGATACATGTCAGCCTGCTGGTCCCTTTGAGTTCTGAGCCAGGGTCGGTGATGTGTATTCACTGTGACAAGTGTAGGACGATCCTAGTTGGTGAGGATCATGGACAGAAGTCCTCAGAAGTCCTCCTGGGGCTTCCCTTCCTTCTGGACATGGCAGAGAAGCATGAGTTTCCAGGGTGCTGACCTCAAGATCGCGACACAGAAGCACCACGGAAGGAAAGTTGGAGAGAGGGGTTCCCCGAACCCTAGAGGTAATGGCAAGTTTCCTGTGGGGACAGGGACAGAACGTTCAGGAAACCAAAGGATCATTTTGAAACAACTCCAAGGGAAACAGGAGGTAGAGAGGTAGCCAGAATCTAGACCCAAAACCCATGGTGGCCTAGTAGATAGAGTGAAGCATCATGGGGGCACAGAGCCCTGCAACCCAGGTAACAAGCTGATTCACAGGTGGTTCTGAGGTTGAAACAGGAAATGGTTAATAGTGTTTGCAAATAAAAACACTCTGTTCTGCCCTGCTTTGAAACATTTCCCAGAAGCTAAAGGAAGAACTACTAATTTATCGGTCCAATTGAAGATCCAAATGAACTCAATCTCCCCTCCCCCAACTTTATCACGTACTTGTTCTTTAAAACATGTGATTGCTAGCCCCTATTTTCTCTGAACTTTCTCCAGTGAATTTAAATTCTAAGTGTGCATTTCTGTGTATTTGTTCCATATGTGTCTGTTGTGTACATGTGCTCCCTGTGTGTCTGTATTATGTGTGGGAACACCTTCCAGTCTTGTCACTCTGTCACAGAGGGCCTTTGTTGGTTATCCCATTGTCTACAGGATGCTGGAGCCTCACTAAACCCCTGAAGCTGGGTTGGGCTGAGATGGATATCCATCTGGCCATGTGAGCACAGCACCCTCTGGGAAAACTTGCAAAGCCAACAGCTTCTGCAGAGGATTGGAAAGATGACTCTCCTGGCTGGGTGGAGGTGTTAATTAATTTTATGTTTACATGACCACACGTTAGAATTATCTGAAAGGAGGGAGCCTCAATTGAGAAAGTGATACCAGAAGATCTGGCTGCCGAGTGTTTGATTGATGCGAAAGAGCCCAGCCCCTTGTGGGTAGTGCTATCCCTGGCCTGGTGGTCCTGGGTTCTATAAGAAAACAGGCTGAGCCAGCCATGAGGAACAGTCTACTATGCAGCACCCCTCCATCAGCTCCTACCTTGTTTCTGCCCTGTTTGAGTTCCTGTCCTGACTTCCTTTGATGATAAACAGTGATATGGAAGTGTACACCAAATAAGACTTTTTTTGCTTTATAGTCATGGTGTTTCATCAGAGCAACAGAAACCCTAAGACAGCAGTCCACTCTTAGATGTTACCCTGAGCTTTCAGTTAGGCTGCCACACTGTCAACTATGCTAGCCTTTGTCAGAGTTGGGTTTAGAAGCTGAGCCACAGGGTGAGCAGGGGCAGGAGGCTGGGAAAGGCTTGGGTATCTTGCCAGATGGCTGATAGAACAGAAGTTGACTTGGCTTCCCCAACAGCTTCCTCCCTGTGCTCTTCCCTTCTCAGCTCATTGTGAGCTATTTAGGAGCAGGCTGCTTAGATCTTAGGACGGGATTCTCATCCATACCTTGTTCCTAAAGCTTGTCCTCAGAGGTCAACATCCCTGAAGTTTGCTGATGGTGGCTCCCCACACTCAACCAGATGGGTATCCATCAGCACAGCTGGATCCAGGCCTGAGATTTACCTTTTGGTAGGCACAGTTTTTATCCACTGGCTGGCTCTGTGTATATGTATGTGTGTGTGTGTGTGTGTGTGTGTGTGTGTGTGTGTGTACAAATGAGGAGACCCACATAGGGGTGACTGACTTGTCAGTGAAATGATACATCTGAGAAAGTTATATGTCATCAGACTTATTAAGCCAATTCCGAGTATAAGGAGTCCATTCTTTTGGCTGGTGACCAAGAGTGGACTACCACTTCAGAAATTCTCTTTGTACTGGAGCTCAGGGGGTACTGTGTTCTTAAAGACAAACCCCACAGTGACATTCGTGGTAGATGAGGGTCAGAACAATCTTGCAGTAATTGTGTTGGCAGAACATGGCAGTCATTTCAGCCACAACAGAACAACTTAGTTTGATTTATACCTCTATCAGTTTATCTTAGTTTATTTTTAGTTTGCATAAACATTAGTTATTTTGTTTAATACATCTGGACCATGGTCAGGGTCATAAAAAATGCCAAATGTGCTGCCAGGGCAATTGAGGGGTGTTGGGAGCCAGTCAGCCCAAAACTTTCTCAGAAGGCCCTGATGAAGGGATAAAGGGAAGGTTAGTTCTGTGTCCTTGTCCAGGAGGAGGCTTAGAAAGGTCCAGTCTCAGGGTGGAGCCTGGGCCTCCAAGGAGTTAAGGGTTCTGTTCCTGGGAACCTTCCCTAAAGGGCTGTGATTATGAGCCCTGTGAAAGATGTTTCTGTGGTATCCTATGTTCTCATGTCTGATTTAGCTCTCTGAGAAACTTGACCCATTCTCTCCCTAGAAATAGTATATAAAATGCTGTATTTCAAATATATATATATA